CAGTACACTAGGCGTTTTTTATTTTATAGTAATATAGCATCTAATTATTCTGTTAGTGTGCTCTCTATTAAAAGTAGTAGAACATGCATGCTACTTTATTGTTACATTCTGTCTATAGTTCTTATTTGTAATCTATACTGTTTTTGCAGTAGAGGCAGTGTAGCATTTTGCAGGTAGATGCTATGCTAGCTAGTGTGTTATTCTTAGATAAACTTTCCTGTGTTCTGTGTGGCTACTAGCTAGCCTTATGCTTAGTTAGCTAGTGCTTAATGCAGTACTTACTGCTGCATAAGTACTATGCATAGAGGCATTTCTTAAGGTTGTTTTGTACTAGTATTAGCTAAACCTATGTCTATCTAGGGTATTTCTTAGTTCTTATTATTTATAACAGGTAGTTCTAGTAAGTGCAATAAAATTTATTGTGTTACCTACTTTTATAGGGAATGTAGTATTTTTTATCTTATTAGGTTTCTAGATCTTTCTAAGTAATAGCTAATGCTAAGGGAGGTGTGTTAGCTTGTTCTTAGCATAGATTTAGTGTTAGTAGTAGTGTGTATTACTAGTTAAGGCTCTTACTCTTTTTAAAAATTTTCTAGAATATTTTTTATTATTTATTTATGTTTATAACTGTGTAATGTGTCTTAGCAATTTCTTTTAGTATACTATAGGTTTTAACATTATTATTAATGTGTACTTTGTACATTAACTTTCTGCAGTCTTTTAGACAGTGTGTGTTGCTACATTTCTAGCAGTTTCTGTAAGTAAATTAATATCTTAGTTCTTAAGTAGAGATTTCTATTATTAGTTGTTTTAAAAAAAACTTTTCTTTCTCTTCTTTAACATTTATAATGTATGTTGTAGCTTAGGTGTAGCCTTGCTATCTCTTATAGGTAGTAGCTTGTTTTAGTGCTCTAAAGACTTTATTACTGTTTTGTACCTTAACTTTCTAGTATTCTATTAGGCATCTTTTAGATTTGTAATTGTCTCTACATTACTAGCAGAGGTGTTTGTCTAGCCTTTCTAAGATCTCCTGTCCTGTTAGGCCTTATTCTATATGCATTACTTTTATAGTTAATCTGCTATTTTTATTTTCTAGTTGTTTAGAGTCTAGGCATTTCTAATAAAAGTAACCTACTTTTTTATAGTTAAAGTATGCCTTTTTCTTTAGCTATTTCTTTTATTTCTTATTTAGAGGTGGCTTTATACTTTTAGAGGTACTGCTTTTTTTTTTTAGAGAAGCTATGTGTATGTTTAGTGTAACTAAGGTCTATAGGTTTACTATTAATTTATAAAGTTTTTTTCTTTTTTTAAAACTAGTTAGGTTTTATAGTTGTCTAGCCTTTTTTTTTTTTACTATGTTGCTTAGTATGTCTTTTGTTATAGGTAAGTACTTTTTTAATGTAATCTTTAAAGCTTTTAGGCTTCTTATTATAAGTAAATTTGTTCTTAATAGTGTCTAAAAGCCCTTTATAGAACATTTATCCTACAGCTTTCTTATCTGTCTATCTGCAGATAGCTAGCAGCTCCCTAAAACAGGCTGCATATTGTTAGACAGAGCTATTGCTCTGTTAGAGAGCGTTTATTTTATTAACTACTTATTTTTCTTTGTTAACTAGCCTATAAATTATAGTTAGAGCTGCTTTAAATAAATTAAGGTTATTAAAGACTTTTTGTGTTTTTAGAGGTAAAAGTTTACTATTTGCCTTATAGTTTATCTAGTTATTAGTGTAAGGTTAGAACTAAATAGCAGGTAATTCTTTTAAATATAAGCTTATCTATGAAATTATTTCTTTATTTATTCTAAAGGCACCTTTATTGTATTGCATGTAGAGGTAGCATTTAGTAAAGAAAGGTTTTAAATCTTTAGCAGAGCTATTAAACACTTTAAGAGGGGCTAAGCGTAGAGTCTTTTTAGACTTAATACTAGTTCTTTTTTAAGTAATATTTCTAAGGTTAGCTACTTCTAGCTAGAGGGCTTAGATCTAGTAGACATTTAAGAGTCTTTATTATGCTTAAAGCTAGAGGTGTTGTTTAAGCTGTTTAAGCTTGTTTTAGAGATAAAGTATCTACTAATTTTATGCTTCTTTAGTTGCTGTAGGGGTCTATCTGGTGCCAGCAGCTAAAGCACCTGTTATGCTGATGTCTAAGGTGGTAGTAGCTATACTTTGTAGGGGGTGGTGATTACTGTTATAATTCTTACTCTAGCAAAATAGTATTTTTAGAAGTATGTTAGCCTAAGGTGTAGTTAGCAGAGAAGGGGTAGAACTTAGCTAGATTAGGTGTACAGTCTGTTAAGCAGAGTATAGGTAGGGCAAGATAAAGAAGGCAGGTTGTGGTTTGTCCTAGTAGCTGTATAGGGAGCTAGCAAACCTAATCTGTAAGGATAGAAGTGGAGGTATATATAGTGCAAGATATACAAGGCAGTAATGTTCTCTTTATAAAGGTTTTAATGCCTCTTAGTTTATTAAATAGTAAAGACTAAATAATAAACTTAATAGTAATTATAACCTTTTAACTATAGTTATAATTAAGACTATATACATAGGGCTTGCATGCGTTTGCATGCGTTGCAGGTGTTGCATGCATTGCCTGCAACCACCTGCAATGCCTGCATTGCCTGCAATGCTTTAGTCCTTATTAGACAGTGCACTCTGTAAGGCTTCTGTCTAAAAGCTGAAGCTATTTCTTATCTGTCCTGTCACGTGATTTGTTTAGCGTGGGGCTAAGTGCCTTCCATCCGACATCGTTTGGGCTGTGTGGGACAGCCAGTTGGGTCATTACGGTCTGACTGTTGGCCGTAACAGCTTATAGGAGCTTGCCTTAGCAGACTTCTATAAACTCCTTCTGCTCCTTTTAGCACCTCTAGTACATGTATATAATCCCTACCTTAAACAACCTTAAAAAGGTGTGTTTAATGTTTAGTTTATTCTCTACATAGACTAAGTAGCATTTAGCTTTCTAAAGAGCTATAATACTAATTATATATCTTACACTATATATACCTCTAACTCTATCTAACAGGACTGTTTAACCTAGCCTCCTTACTGCTGCATTAAGGGCAAACCACAATCTAGTCGCTCTACTCTCCTCCAGTAGCCCATTAGCCTACACGCGGGACGGTACACCCTGCCGTTGGCCCCTACCACCCGTCCTACTTCCCCCCCTAGGAATATCATAAGACCTGAGTGCTTCTAGGAAGCAAGGATTGTAACAGCGACTCAGGTGTGTGAGCAACTTGCCTGTGAAGTACGTTATTTTATTTAAAAGCTTAGAGTATAAGCTATATCTAATGTTCTTTTAGCGCGTCTAAGTAGTGTTGTTAGGAATAGATTAGTATAGAAAGAGTAGTTTAGTAGGGTCTTAGCAAAAGTAAGCAACTTAAGTGTGTAAGCAACTCGCCTGTGAAGTACGTTATTAGTAGTTTTTAAGTTTCTACTTTAGTACACTTTATGCAACTTTTTTTAAAGGTAATTTTAATTATAGGGGATAAGAAGTTCGAAACTTAAAAGCTTTAGTTAATAAAAAGTCTCTAGTATTTTATTTATATAACTAAGTAGTTTAAATATAATACTGTGTAAGTATTATAACTTAAACTAAATTTAACATGTTTTAAGCTTAAATATAGTTAAATAAATAATTACTAGTTATAATATTATAATAAGGCTATTACTAGTAATAGCAAGTTTTCTAATATAATGTCACAGCATAGGCAAGATAATAGGTCTAAATGCAGTAGGAATCTACTTAGAGGCATATAAAAGTGCGTAGAGACTTAATAACCTAGGAATCCTATTAACACCTATAGGCCTTGTACAAAGGATATTAGAAAACTACTAAGCTAGCTACAGAGGAGAGGTACAACTAAATACATGGGGGAATAGGGGTAACAGCAGGGGGGTAGGGCAGAGTCGGGGCCAGGTCGAGTCAGGGTCGGGGCCGATACGGGGACCCTTCGGATAGGTTCCGGGCGACCCGAGATGGAACGATTCATGAGAATCGTTACAATACTAAACTATATAGTATTGCATGCTATTTTAAACAATTCTCAAGCAGAAGCAGGTTAAAATAATGTAGCGCGGTAGTGAAATATCACTGCAAGCGGACGGCAGCACCAAGTACAGTCATGTGACTAGAAGTTGAGCCTGCGCGATCTCTTGTAGCATCCTCTGCAAACCTGCAGCTCGACACCCTAGATGTCGCTGCAAGGCTGCACTAGACTATATGGTATTGCATGCTATTCTAAGCAATTATCAAGCAGAAGCAGGTTAAAATAATGTAGCGCGGTGGTGAAATGTGACTGCAAGCAGATGGCAGCACCAAGTACAGTCATGTGACTAGCAGTTGAGCCTGCGCGGTTTCTGCGATCTCTTGTAGCACCCTCTGCACACCTGCAGCTCGACACCTAGATGTCGCTGTGATGACAAGCACTGTCTCTACTACCGTGTGGAGCTGGGGAAGCGAGGTAGAGTAGGTCGGCTCTATTTCAGCTAAACTAGGATGGGGAGTGAAGGAGGCGAAGGGTTTTCGCGAGAGAAAAGCTTGCGCGGCGCCAAGGCGCCAGCGCACTCGCTTAGCCCTTAGCGAGATCATGTGACTAGCAGCGGAGCTTGACAAGCAGCACCGTCACAGTGGGGTTGGAGTTTCGGCATGTCCCTCTAGCCTAATCAGTGGTCATAACAACTAGAAGCTGCAGCATACTATACGCTGCATATTGTACTTTTTAGAAAGTTAATTAAGAACCTGCTTGTGAAGATATTACATGTACAACATTGCTAAAGATGTTCTAAATTCTAGAATAACTAAGCCTAAATTACCTAAAGAGGATATTCTGCTAACTACATTAGGCCCGAAGAAAAGCCAGCGTTCTTAGAAACCGAAAATATGAGCAGAACAAACTCCGCCAATAATAAACCTAGCACCGAAAGTGCCGAAATTAATGAACCATCTACAACCGGGCTTGGTTGAATCGTTCATCTGCGTCATGTCGGAGAGCCACATTCCCCACACTGGTCACGCCTGCTGGTAATATATATCCTCTACACGCTCCGTAGGACGGCCGAAGCATATTGTGTCAATCCCTTCTTGTGACCATGCACCTTCTCACGTTGCTATCCGCAGCCATATTGGCGCCCATGTGCGGGCTTGCTGCTCCGGCGGGCGATTTCTCTGCGACATACCATGTTCTTGACAAGAAAGGAGACAATCTCTGCAATCAATACAAGTCACCGCCGCAACTTTGCACCCCTGATTTAACTGTAACTGTCGCACAGACAGCCGAAAGAGCGTACAAGTTTTACAAAGCATTCGTCGTGGACGGAGATGCGCGTACGATGTTTTCACTAATTGACAATTCTTACATTGTATGCTTTATTTCTTTTACGATCACATGTCACCCCATCTTCTCATTACTCGCAACGCTAATTGGAACGACAGCAACATCACGCAGGCTACGCAAATGGCCCGCAAGCGATTTGGTCGCTCTTCTGCAATGGGAAACCAGTAGGAACCGCAGGAAACTCTGCCTGGTGTTTCGATGCAAGCACGAACATGTCTTACGCACGATACTCGACAGTGGACAGATGGCGTTGGGTTGGTGGCTGTGTTCACGAACATGTATGCGAATTGGACCAGGTTAATATACTAGAAAGCATACTGATAGATTTACAGTGGGACTCGAACGAAAAGATACCGACCGAGAAGTGCTACAAGCTGAATAGCACGCTTGTTGCGTGAGGAATGAAGATGCATTCTAAGGCTGGCTTAAGTTTGTCTGGGACAGAGCCTAGAGAACGAGTTGCGAACGAGCAAGTTCGCGTAAAGAGAAAGGTTCTTTTCAGCTCCTAGGACAATAAGGCTCTATTAAATAAGGCACATTATATACTTCTAAGTTCTGCTAGTTAAGAGTCTGCCTTTGCAAAAGAGGATTACTCCAAGCACGATCGTTTTTTATGTGAGCACTACTTCACTAAAATCAGATACTCATGAGCCCGCGCACCGCTATATAAACGCCTGCCAGGGTCTGCGGTTGTTAATCAATGAAGGTACCTTTCAACGGCGACGAATCTGTTAAAATCCAAACACTTTCGGATAACAAACAGCTTAATAAGGCTCATTTAGTTGATTTTAATAAAGGCTAAGCTAGTATCAAAGTGTAGACAAAATTCCTTGCAAAGTATTATAATCCTTGCTTGGCAGAGTCCCTTTGGGGAGGCTGCAAGCACGCGGGCCGGTGGTTAGGTTAAGAGATAAGAATAGGGGAACCTGCCTTGGATGTACGGTCCTTGGTGTGGTTCGGGTATGGAGCCGGTAGGATGGCTGGATTGTGGTTTGAGCTCAGACAGCGGTATGAGGCGCTTAGTTAAACAGTTTGTTAAACAGGAAGAGAGGTATATATAGTGCAAGATATACAATTAGTATTGCAGCTTATTAAAAAGCAGCAATGCTACTTAGTCTATAAAGATAAACTAAACTTTAATTACGCCTTCTAAAGGTTAATTAACTATAGTCTTATATACATTTATATTTATGTAGTAATTGTAGCCTTAGTGCTACAACCCACGATTGGACCGTAAGCAACCAGTCAGCTGTGCCCCACTGTTTAAACGATCAAGGATGGAAAGTCCTCGATCCCCTGCCCAACAAGTCACGTGACCCGACGGACGAGGAATGGACAAAGCTCTTGGACTAATGCGCGGCCAAATGCGTCATCTAATGAGCTGAGCGTGTTTGCATGCAGTGCATGCAGTGCGCGCTCTGCAGGCCTAGGAGCATGCAACGCATGCAACCCTATGTATATAGTTTAGGATCCTAACTTTACTTAGAAGCTGTAATTAACAGTTTAGTCTATTATTTATATAAATTAAGTAGCATTGCTACTTTTTAATAAGAAGTAATCTAATTATATATCTTACAATATATATACCTTCTCTTTTATCCCTACATAGGAACTGTTTAACCTAAGCACCTTATACTGCTGTTGCAGAGTAAACTATAGTTAGCTGCACCTTCTAGTCCTAGTAACTACGCCTTAACAGACTATACACCTGTCTAAGACTAAGTTCCCCCTCCTCTACACTCCTAACCTCCTCCCTAGGCCTAGAGTACTTTAGACACTATTTTTTTAAAGTAAAGATTATAACATTAATTACTACTCTTTAATAAAGTATAAATCTTTACACTACCTCTACTAATTTAGAAATAACTAGCGCCTTATTAGCTAGTACTAGCTAAGTTCTAACTTTAAGTAAAGAAGTAATAAACTAACAGTTAAACAATCTAAGAAATAAAGTAGCTGCATTAAAGTAAATGCTAGCCTAGTTAGTAAACTAAGAACTAACAGTAGTAAACTTCTAAACCTAAGCTCTTTAACTTAAAGTATTAAACTTAAGAAATGCAGCTTAGGAAAGAGTAAGTGTAGACTCTAAAAAGACATTAAGATTAGCACTTTCTAAGCCTCTTACTAAAAGTGTAAAGGATCTTAAGCTGTTCTTTACATAATGCCACCTTTATATGTAATATAATAAGGGCGCTTTTTAAACCTATAAAGAAATAATCTGTTAGATAGAACTCTACTTAGAAGGCTTTTATTAAAGATAAAAGAAATCTTTAGCAGCATTAACTTCTTTAAAAAAGGCTTAACTGCTATTTATAGATTAGTAATAAAAAAATTTGTAGTTAACAAAATAAACAACTTATAATAAGAAAAAAAAGTGTCTAACATTATACAGCTTGCTTCTGCAAATAACTAGCTATCTGCAGATAGACAGACTAGAAAGCTATAAGTAGAATGTTTTATAATAAGCTAAATAATATAGTTAAAGATAAGTTTATGCGTAATAGAAAACTAAAAACTTTAAAAAAATTTATTAACTAGGTAATAACTTATAACAAAAGACATATAGAATGTTAGAGAAAAAAAAACAGGCATAATAACATAAAAGTCTAAGTAGACACTAAGAAAAAAGAAGACCTCTTAATATAATAAAAAACTAATAGACCTTAGTTATATAAAACATATACATAGTATCTCTAAAAAAAAAAAGCAAGAGTTCTTCTAAAAGTAACAGACTACCTCTAAGTAAGGAATAAAAAAAATAGCTTAAAAAAAGGCCTGTCTAAACTGTAAAAAAAGTAGGCTACGTTTATTAAAAATGTTTAGACTCTAGGAACCTAGAGAATAAAGATTAAAGACTAGCTATAAAAGTTATGCACATAAAATAAGAGCTAATGTTAAAAGAAATTTATAACAAACTTAATAAACAACTTTACTAGAGATGTAGAGCTAACTATAAACTACTAAATTATTCTAGGAATTACTAGAAAGTAGAAGTATAAGACAACTATAAAGTCTTTTAAGTAATTAAATAAGCTGCTGTTTTTAAGGGATAGTGTAATTTAACATAAGTCAGGGTTGCCACTTTATAGTAATTACTATTTTTAAAATAGTAATTACTATGTTTTTAAAAACGTTATTATTACTTAATTACATAAGCTATAATTCTAAAAATTAATATATAGATGCTAAGTAAACTAGTCTATAAATCTATGAATTTAAATTCTAAAAATTATATTTAATACATTTATAATAAATAAAAAAGAGAGAAAAAAAGGAGAGAAAAATAGTAATTACTATTACTATTACTATATCTGCTTTTTTTCTCTTTTTTTCTTTATTACTAGGGATACAAATTTATATAGTAGAATCTAATCTTATATATCTATACTTTAGTATACCTAGTATCTAAGTTTAGGTTTTTAGAATATTAGCTAATGTAATTAAGCTGTTATAGACTTTTTAAAAAAATAGTAATTACTATTTTAGAATAGTAATTACTATAAAAGTGGCAACCCTGACATAAGTTGCTAACTATGTTAAAAACATAAAATAAAAGAAAAACAGATTCCCCTTAAAGCAGCTAATAATAGGCATACTTATAAAAAAACTAGCCTACTAATTTTACTACAGTAAATGTTAAAAATGCAGAGAAACCTATAACTACAACTATTATAAGAAAGAATACTATAAGGTACACATTAATAATAACATAAACATATATAAGGTTATTTTAAACATTCCTAAAGTACACTATAATATCCTAAATAAGACAGAGAGATAGAAATTCTTTAAAAAAAATCCTCTGTAATAGGGAAGGCCTAGGGTAGCTAAGCACGTTGCTTTAGACCCTACACCTTTGTTAGAAAAGATCTAGGACACTGCCCTTAGCACTAGTAATAACCTAAAAGAAACTTAAGACCTAATAAGTTAACTAATATTATATTCCTTATAAAAGTAAGTAATATAAGGAATGTAAATGTTAATACAAGGCACACCTCCTCTAAATTATATAAATAAAAGAGTACCCTAGATAGACGCAAGTACAGCTAGTACTAGTCTATATAAACCTAAAGGAATGTCCTTTTAAATAGTACTTATGCACTAATTAGTACTGCGTGCAGCACTAGCCTATAAAACATTAAGCAGGATAGTGGCTATAGTTAAGCAGAGAAAACAGTATAGGTGACAACACCTTAGAAGGAATAGCAACTAAATGCAAAATGCTGCACTGCCTCTACTGCAGCACAGGCCTAGACTACAAGTAAAAAGCATAGACAAACTACAGAAATAATAGAGACTGCGTCTTCTACTACTTTTAGTAAAAAGCATATTAGTAAAATAACTAGCTCCCCTAGCACTGTTAAGTTAAGAATAGAGACTACCTACTTAAAGACTGCATAATTTAAGGACACTAGCAGTACAGGATCTAGACAGATTAGATAAGCGCATAAGAATAAAGTATAGAAGATGTTAAACTAGATAACACACTTAACTATAGAGAAATCTACTATAATGCTAAAGTATTAGTAGCAGTAGAACAAAGAATTAGTAAAAGCTTTACTATAAAATTTACTCTTAATAAAAGAAAAGGAATTGCACTAATAGACAGCAGATGTACGTTTATAGCTATTAACTCTAACTAGGTAGACTAACAAGACATACTATACTAGGTAAAGAAAAACCTCTTTAAAGTCTTCTTAGTAGACGCCTTTTTAATTAAATTTAAGAATAGTTACATATAACTAGAAATAGTTAAGTTATAGCTATAAATAAAAAATATGTATAACTAGAGATCTCTAAGCATTCCACCCTTAAGAGGAAAGTATTAAGCAATACTTAGCTACAACTAGTTGTATAAACATAACTTAGAAATTAACTAGAAAAATATAACTATTTAAACCCTTAAATAACACGCTACTATAACCTAGTTAGCATGCTATAGAGACAACTGCCTAGCACATAAGCAAGCAAAACAAGGAGCTAGCTAGTACTCTAAAAAACAGAAACTAAAAAAGTTTCTCTATTAAGAACTAGAAGCTTACGCAATTTAAATAATAATAAAAAAACTTAAGAAAACTACACTTAAAGAAATGCTTAAAGATAAGAAAATAAAATAAGTAAGAATGTATAAGATAGCACAACAAACAGAGCACACAATTCTTAAAGAATACAGCAATTATTAGGATATGTTTAAGACACTTAAGAATCTAGAAGAACTTCTGCTACATTAGCTATAGAACTATGCTATAAACCTAAAACTAAACCTATAATTAAAAACGCATAAGCTAAGACTACTTATAAAATTTAAAAAAAAAAGCTCTACAGGAATACGTAGACAAGATGCTAGCAAGAGGACATATATAAGAAAGTAAGAGCTCTATAGCATTAGCAGTAGTAT